CAAAGTAAGAAAATTCAAGCCGGGAGACTTCGTCCTTGCTTATTTCCCTATCCCAGGTTCACCTTTACAAAACAGATTTTCAGGACCCTACTGCGTCAAAGAGTGCAGGAATAATAATAATTATGTGATAGAGACTCCAGATAGGCGGCGGAAGACCCAGCTGTGCCACGTCAACCTCCTGAAGCAATATAATGGTACTCCTCCCACTGTCTTGATTAATTGTTCTACCTTCACAGAACCCTACATCCACAGTGAGACCATCCCGGCTTCTTCTCCCGAAAGCACTGACAAGGAGTCGGCGCTTTCTAAATCCAAAATCCTTAATGATCTTCCCAAATGCTTTCAGGATAATACTCGTGCTCCTATGCCCTCTTCTAATTCCACTCTCACCTCGTCAGATAAGCCCTACATCCTCCATGTCGACGCCAATGGTACCGACGATGGTGGTGTCGTGATGCAGCAACGAGGCGAGAAGAATACACCTGTCAGCGACTACTGCTACAAGGAACGACGGAACAATTGGCAAGGAGCTACTCTTCCTCATCCTGAAGCTTCAGCACTTCACTCCACACCTGAAAAGTGCTCGGTCCACCATCAATACGGACCACACCACCCTACACCTCCTGCAGCACGCCCACTTCTCATCTCAACGTCTTCTACTATGGGCTTGCTAACTGCAGAAATTCAACCTGGAGACACGCTATACCAAGAGTCTGACAACATCTTAGCCCATGATCTCTCCAGAGTTTATGAAGTAGAAGCAACTCCATCTAATACTCCACCACATAACGACGTACTTCTTCCAGAACCGCAGGCTTCGGGGGAGAGTTGTGACGATAATCTCCTTCAAGAGATTGAGCCTGCTCTTCCCTCCATACTTACGTCGTCACAATTATATAAAAGACTATGGAAGAAATGTCAAACAACGACAACAACACCAGCACCAGCAAGGCTTGCCAGGGTGAGCAGAAACGTATGCAACCAGCCACCTGTTCGAACTCCAACCACCAAACTACCCGTTGATCGCTACGACTCCGCTGATTGGTCGCCGGTCTGGCTGCACCTGCACTCGCCCCCAATACTACCTGATGTCTGGGGTCGCCCCAACATCAGTCTTCAGAATGTTCATCGTAGCCAGCACTCCTATATATATAGAGTGGTGGCTTTAAGCCAATATTCCAAAATATATACACAATTTATTAAATATTTTAGTAGTTGACTCTGAACCCAATATTCAGTCTGTTTCAGATCGTCAAAATCATCTAAAATGCATAGATATTTTATCACTTTTTAATTGTTTTTTCAAAATGTGATTCACATTTTGGAATTGTTTGTGACGCGAGGCTAAAATGTTGTGTGAGAGGCAGTGGCGGAGTGTTGCGGCGCCCACCGTGCTGTATACACGTACCCTGGAGTTACCCAACTGTTGTGGGTGGTATTCTGGGGGGAGGGCATCAGTAGTGGTGTGTGTGTGTGTGTGTGTGTGTGTGTGTGTGTGTGTGTGTGTGTGTGTGTGTGTGTGTGTGTGTGTGTGTGTGTGTGTGTGTGTGTGTGTGTGTGTGTGTGTGTGTGTGTGTGTGTGTGTGTGCTCACCTATTTGTACTCACCTAATTGTGCTTGCGGGGGTTGAGCTCTGGTTCTTTGGTCCCGCCTCTCAACCGTCAATCAACAGGCGATGTGTGTGTGTGTGTGTACTCACCTAATTGTGCTTGCGGGGGTTGAGCTCTGGCTCTTTGGTCCCGCCTCTCAACCGTCAATCAACTGGTGTACAGATTCCTGAGCCTATAGGGCTCTATCATATCTACTGACAAGGAGGTGTGTGAAGGTCGGAATTTCCATCTCATCAACACTCCAGTCCTTCCTTATCAGCAGGGCCACTCCTCCACCTCCTCTCCCTTCCCTCTCTTTCCTTACTATACAGTAGTCCTTTGGAAACACAGCATCTGTTATGACTCCTGACAATTTTGTTTCTGTGAGTCCTATTACATCAGGGTTTTCTTCTTGCGACCTTTCTGCCAGTTCACTTGCTTTATTGGTAATCCCATCAATGTGTGTGTGTGGTCTATTATGTACTGAACATTTCTTAAGCTTCCTATGATCAAATTATGATAAGTAGAATGTTAAAGCTTCGCCATTATCAAGTTGTAATATTTTACGCTATAGTAACAATTCTTTTAAGTGAAACAGCCCAATTCCAGAGCCACCATCAGCCTATGTTGGCCACTTACCCCTCAGCAATCACAGTGCAAAGTCGGCTAAGAGAGAAAAAAAGAGAGTAGGGATAAAGTGGAGATTGTTATTCAAATTATAAAATTAATTTCGGAGCTATTCATCTAGGGCTGTTACTGTTTGATCTAGGTGTCCCAGATGGCTGCTATTGTTTGATCTAGGTGTCCCAGATGGCTGCTATTGTTTGATCTAGGTGTCCCAGATGGCTGTTATTGTTTGATCTAGGTGTCCCAGATGGCTGCTATTGTTTGATCTAGGTGTCCCAGATGGCTGCTATTGTTTGATCTAGGTGTCCCAGATGGCTGTTATTGTTTGATCTAGGTGTCCCAGATGGCTGCTATTGTTTGATCTAGGTGTCCCAGATGGCTGTTATTGTTTGATCTAGGTGTCCCAGATGGCTGCTATTGTTTGATCTAGGTGTCCCAGATGGCTGTTACTGTTTGATCTAGGTGTCCCAGATGGCTGCTATTGTTTGATCTAGGTGTCCCAGATGGCTGTTACTGTTTGATCTAGGTGTCCCAGATGGCTGTTACTGTTTGATCTAGGTGTCCCAGATGGCTGCTATTGTTTGATCTAGGTGTCCCAGATGGCTGTTACTGTTTGATCTAGGTGTCCCAGATGGCTGTTACTGTTTGATCTAGGTGTCCCAGATGGCTGTTACTGTTTGATCTAGGTGTCCCAGATGGCTGTTACTGTTTGATCTAGGTGTCCCAGATGGCTGTTACTGTTTGATCTAGGTGTCCCAGATGGCTGTTACTGTTTGATCTAGGTGTCCCAGATGGCTGTTACTGTTTGATCTAGGTGTCCCAGATGGCTGTTATTGTTTGATCTAGGTGTCCCAGATGGCTGTTACTGTTTGATCTAGGTGTCCCAGATGGCTGTTACTGTTTGATCTAGGTGTCCCAGATGGGGATATTTGCCCACACACGCCTGGGGGATAATACAGTGTTATGTGATGGTATTCTTGGTAACATGGAGCAAGCTGACTGTTAGTGGCGGCAAGATGTACAGGTTTCGTAAGCGACCACGTAAGAACTTGAGGACTCGAAGCCCTGGTCTATGATTACCTGTCACAGTGGTCAGTCGCACACTGCTTTCTCCTTGAGAAAGGTGACGTGTTAAATTGGCGCATTACCTCCACCAACAGGCTGCTTGCTCCGGTCACCTGGAATAGCATCATGCAAGGTGACAGAGACATGAGTAACAGGTGAGTGAGGTCACATGGGTAAGGAGTCCAGCGTCACCTCCCTCACCACCAACCCTCTCATTTACCTCATTAAAACACTCACAGTCTGGACATTCTCCTACATGCAACATCTCAGATTGAATATATGTAGACCTGCCTATATGTGGGTACGTGCACATGTACTCACCTAGTTGTTGGGGGGTTGAGCTCTGGCTCTTTGGTCCCGCCTCTCAACTGTCAATCAACTGGTAATTACCTAAGTGTAGTTACCTAAGTGTAGTTACAGGATGAGAGCTACGCTCGTGGTGTCCCGTCTTCCCAACACTCTTTGTCATATAACGCTGTGAAACTACTGACGGTCTTGGCCTCCACCACCTTCTCCCCTAACTTGTTCCAACCGTCTACCACTCTGTTTGCGAAAGTGAATTTTCTTATATTTCTTCGGCATCTGTGTTTAGCTAGTTTAAATCTATGACCTCTTGTTCTTAAAGTTCCAGGTCTCAGGAAATCTTCCCTATCGATTTTATCAATTCCTGTTACTATTTTGTATGTAGTGATCATATCACCTCTTTTTCTTCTGTGTTCTAGTTTTGGCATATTTAATGCCTCTATTCTCTCCTCGTAGCTCTTGCCCTTCAGTTCTGGGAGCCACTTAGTAGCATGTCTTTGCATCTTTTCCAGTTTGTTGATGTGCTTCTTAAGATATGGGCACCACACAACCGCCGCATATTCTAGCTTTGGCCTAACAAAAGTCATGAACAATTTCTTTAGTATATCGCCATCCATGTATTTAAAAGCAATTCTGAAGTTAGAAAGCGTGGCATAGGCTCCTCGCACAATATTCTTTATGTGGTCCTCAGGTGATAGTTTTCTATCTAGAACCACCCCTAGATCACTTTCTTTATCAGAATTCTTTACAGATTTCTCACATAATATATAGGTTGTGTGAGGTCTAATGGTGTACAGGTTCCTGAGCTTATTGGGCTCTATCATATCTACACTTGAAACTGTGTATGGAGTCAGCCTCCACCACATCACTGCCTAGTGCATTCCACCTGTTAACTACTCTGACACTGAAAAAGTTCTTTCTAACGTCCCTGTGGCTCATGTGGGTACTCAGTTTCCACCTGTGTCTCCTTGTTCGCGTCCCTCCAGTGTTGAATAGTTTATCCTTGTTTACCCGGTCGATTCCTCTGAGGATTTTGTAGGTTGATAGATGTAGGTATAGGTGTAGGTTGATTTTGTGTGTGTGTGTGTGTGTGTGTGTGTGTGTGTGTGTGTGTGTGTGTGTGTGTGTGTGTGTGTGTGTGTGTGTGTGTGTGTGTGTGTGTGTGTGTGTGTGTGTGTGTGTGTGTGTGTGTGTGTGTGTGTGTGTGTGTGTGTGTGTGTGTGTGTGTGTGTGTGAGTGAGTGTGTGCGCGTGAGTGCGTGGGTGTGTGGAGGAGGAGGAGGAGCAGGAGGAAGGTCCAGGCATGCGTAGCTGAGTGGTCTACAGACCATATAAAGCCGAGCAGGTACGTCTAGATCCCACGTGGTGCCTCATCCACCACCAGTACACACCCGCCCCCCCTCTCTCACCCCCTCCCTCCCCCCCACTCCGACGCTCTCCAAATATCAGTGTTCGAAACCAGTGCCTCAGAATTCCGAACAGAACCGAACGTCCTCGAACGTTCTTTTCAACGCCTACTAACTCAAGAATGAAGGTAAGAATGTATTAGGCCTACTGTCTAACTTCCAGGTGCCTATTTACTGCTAGGTGAACAGGTGCATCCGGGTGAGAGAAACTCTCCCGCCATTTGTTTCCGCCTCCATCGGGGATCGAACTCGGAACCTCAGGACAACGAATCCGAAGCGCTGTCCACTCAGCTGTCAGGCCCGAAGCACCTAGGCCTAACATATGAAATTTTAGTCCTATTTTTGTACAAATTACCTCAATAATAGGCCTAGGGAAATAGGTAGCTTTTCAATGTCTAACAGTACACATTTCGTACTATCGACAATAGTACCAATACGTACTATAAACTCTGGGTGACAGGTGACAAAATGATGAAAAATACAATGAACATTCGTGTTTATAAATTACACATCAATTTATAAATTATACATCAATTTATAAATTATACATCAATTTATAAATTATACATCAATTTATAAATTATACATCAATTTATAAATTATACATCAATTTATAAATTATACATCAATTTATAAATTATACATCAATTTATAAATTATACATCAATTTATAAATTATACATCAATTTATAAATTATACATCAATTTATAAATTATACATCAATTTATAAATTATACATCAATTTATAAATTATACATCAATTTATAAATTATACATCAATTTATAAATTATACATCAATTTATAAATTATACATCAATTTATAAATTATACATCAATATCATCGAATGAGAAAATTGGTATTTATATAAACTATTATCAAATGACTTTTTGTTGAAGATAATGCCTTCGTCTCTAATTAACTTTATCCTCAAGGTTAATGAGGAATTAACATTAACATAATTATTTATTTTAATTCTAATTATCATATTTATTGTCGAAGCTTAGTGATAAGCCTAAGCCGAGATGACGGTTGGGCACTGTGTGTGTGTGTGTGTGTGTGTGTGTGTGTGTGTGTGTGTGTGTGTGTGTGTGTGTGTGTGTGTGTGTGTGTGTGTGTGTGTGTGTGCCTGTGTGTGTGTGCGTGTGTGTGCCTGTGTGTGTGTGTGTGTGTGAGTGTGTGTGTGTGTGTGTGTGTGTGTGTGTGTGTGTGTGTGTGTGTGTGTGTGTGTGTGTGTGTGTGTGTGTGTGTGTGTGTGTGTGTGTGTGTGTGTGTGTGTGTGTGTGTGTGTGCCTGTGTGTGTGTGTGTGTGTGTGTGTGTGTGTGTGTGTGTGTGTGTGTGTGTGTGTGTGTGTGTGTGTGTGTGTGTGTGTGTGTGTGTGTGTGTGTGTGTGTGTGTGTGTGTGTGTGTGTGTGTGTGTGTGTGTGTGTGTGTGTGTGTGTGTGTGTGTGTGTGTGTGTGTGTGTGTGTGTGTGTGTGTCTGTGTCTGTGTCTGTGTGTGTGTGTGTGCGTGTGTGTGTGTGTGCGTGTGTGTGTACTCACCTATTTGTACTCACCTATTTGTGCTTGCGGGGGTTGAGCTTTGGCTCTTTGGTCCCGCCTCTCAACTGTCAATCAACTGGTGTACAGGTTCCTGAGCCTACTGGGCTCTATCATATCTACACTTGAAACTGTGTATGGAGTCAGCCTCCACCACATCACTGCCTAATGCATTCCATCCATTAACTACTCTGACACTGAAAAAGTTCCTTCTAACGTCTCTGTGGCTCATGTGGGTACTCAGTTTCCACCTGTGTCCCCTTGTTCGTGTCCCACCAGTGTTGAATAGTTTATCCTTGTTTACCCGGTCGATTCCTGAGGATTTTGTAGGTTGTGATCATGTCTCCCCTTACTCTTCTGTCTTCCAGTGTCGTAAGGTGCATTTCCCGCAGCCTTTCCTCGTAACTCATGCCTCTTAGTTCTGGGGCTAGTCTAGTAGCATACCTTTGGACTTTTTCCAGCTTCGTCTTGTGCTTGACAAGGTACGGGCTCCATGCTGGGGCCGCATACTCCAGGATTGGTCTTACATATGTTGTGTACAAGATTCTGAATGATTCCTTACACAGGTTCCTGAACGCCGTTCTGATGTTAGCCAGCCTCGCATATGCCGCAGACGTTATTCTCTTTATGTGGGCTTCAGGAGACAGGTTTGGTGTGATATCAACTCCTAGATCTTTCTCTCTGATCGTTTCATTAAGTACTTCATCTCCTATTCTGTATCCTGTGTCTGGCCTCCTGTTTCCACTGCCTAGTTTCATTACTTTGCATTTACTCGGGTTGAACTTCAACAGCCATTTGTTGGACCATTCACTCAGTCTGTCTAGGTCATCTTGTAGCCTCCTACTATCGTCCTCAGTTTCAATCTTCCTCATAATTTTTGCATCGTCGGCAAACATTGAGAGAAACGATTCTATACCCTCTGGGAGGTCATTTACATATATCAGAAACAGTATAGGTCCAAGGACTGACCCCTGCGGGACTCCACTATTAACGTCTCGCCAATCTGAGACCTCACCCCTCACACTGACTCGTTGTCTCCTGTTGCTTAGGTACTCCTGTATCCAACGGAGTACCTTCCCTTTCACTCCAGCCTGCATCTCCAGCTTTTTCACTAGCCTCTTGTGTGGCACTGTATCAAAGGCTTTCTGACAATCCAAAAATATGCAGTCTGCCCACCCTTCTCTTTCTTGCCTTATTTTTGTTGCCTGGTCGTAGAATTCAAGTAACCCTGTGAGGCAGGACCTGCCATCCCTGAATCCATGTTGATGCTGTGTTACAAAGTTCCTTCGCTCCAGGTGCTCCACTAGCTTTCTTCGCACAATCTTCTCCATCAGCTTGCATGGTATGCAGGTTAGGGACACCGACCTGTAATTCAGTGCCTCCTGTCTATCCCCTTTCTTGTATATCTGTACTACGTTAGCTGCTTTCCAAATATCTGGCAGTTCCCCTGTTGCCAGTGATTTGTTATACACTATGGAGAGTGGGAGGCACAGTTCTTCTGCTCCTTCCTTTAGTATCCAAGGGGAGATTCCATCTGGGCCTATAGCCTTTGTCACATCCAACTCTAGTAAACACTTCCTTACTTCCCCACTGGTAATCTCAAACTCTTCCAGTGGTTCCTGGTTAGCTATTCCCTCTCTTATCTCTGGGATTTCTCCTTGCTCTAAGGTGAAGACCTCTTGGAATTTCTTATTCAGTCCCTCACACACTTCCTTGTCGTTTGTAGTGAATCCTTCCGCCCCTATCTTTAATTTCATAACCTGTTCCTTTACTGTTGTTTTTCTCCTGATGTGGCTATGCAGCAATTTAGGCTGAGTCTTTGCCTTGCTTGCGATGTCATTCTGGTATTGTCTTTCTGCCTCTCTTCTCATCCTGACATATTTATTCCTGGCATTCTGGTATCTTTCTCTGCTCTCCAGTGTCCTGTTATTCCTATAGTTTCTCCATGCCCTTTTACTTTGCTGCTTAGCTAGCCTACATCTCTGATTAAACCATGGGTTTCTCATCTTCATTTCACTGTTTTCCTTTTGGACTGGGACAAACCTGTTTGCTGCGTCCTTGCATTTTTGCGTGATGTAGTCCATCATATCTTGGGCCGTCTTTTCCCTGAGCTCTGTTTCCCATGCTATATCTGTTAGGAATTTTCTTATCTCCTCATAGTTTCCCTTTCGGTATGCTAACCTTTTGGTTTCGGTATCCCTCCTCGAGTTCAATAACCCTTCTTCAATCAAGTACTCAAACACTAGTACACTGTGGTCGCTCATTCCTACTGGGGCCTCAAAACCGATTTTTCTTTATGTCACAGTCATTCAGAGTGAAGACTAGGTCGAGTCTCGCTGGTTCGTCATTGCCTCTCATCCTTGTGGGTTCTCCGACATGCTGGGTTAAGAAGTTTCTAGTCACCACCTCCAGTAGTTTGGCTCTCCACGTATCCTCGCCTCCATGCGGTTCCTTGTTCTCCCAAACAATCCTTCCGTGATTGAAGTCGCCCATGATGAGCAGGTGGGATCTATTTCTACAGGCAGCAGAGGCTGCCCTCTCTATTATAGTGTTAACTGCCTTGTTGTTGTTTTCATACTCTTGACTGGGTCTTCTGTCATTTGGTGGAGGGTTGTATATTACTGCTACTACTATCCTTGGTCCTCCCATTGTCATGGTGCCTGCTATGTAGTCTCTGAACCACTCACAGCCCGGGATGGCCATCTCCTTAAAACTCCATTCCTTTCTCATGAGTAGGGCCACTCCGCCTCCTCCCCTACCTTCCCTCTCTTTCCTTATTACTGTGTACTCCTGGGGAAACACGGCATGTGTGTGTGTGTGCGTTGGTGCTGGTCACTGTGGTCCTGGTGTGTATGTGTGTTGGTGACATTACAATACAATACAATACAATACAATACAATACACAATATCACAACATTCACAACCTGTTGACTCATAATCCTGACAAACAAGCATCAACAATAAAAGTTGTGATTTTTGCCATCACTCGTCACTTTTAAATAACAGAATAAAATGCTGTTAATATTTTAACTTTTAAAGATAAGTCATTTAGTTTAATTCATTTTGTCTACTTTACATATATTGGAATTATTTATGTGTGTTGGAGGGGGGGGGGGTGTACCCATCTGTGTATGTATGTATGATTCATTGTGTCGGGGGGACAGGCAGCCAGTATATATATATATATATATATATATGTTAGGTTGATATCGAGGGCCCCCCCCCTCCCCAGGTGCCCCCCCCCTCTAAGGATGCAACCCCACAACAAGCTGACTAACTGTTGGGTGAACAGACGCATTAGGTTGTACGAATCGCGCCTTACCAGGAATCGAACCTGGAAGCTTCGTTTGTGAGTCGAGAACGAACCCTACTGTACTACTAGGACCCTGTGCTTACCTAGCTGTGCTTGTGGGGGGTTGAGCTCTGGCTCTTTGGTCCCGCCTCTCAACTGTCAATCAACTGGTGTACAGGTTCCTGAGCCTACTGGGCTCATCGTTTACTAGACTACTAGATCGTTTCCTCCAAGGAGTGCCGGACCAACCGGGCTGTGGTGGGTATGTGGGCCTGCGGGCCGCTCCAAGCAACAGC